CCGTGAATTTCTTGTTTTGGCTGTGATGTTGCTGGTTGGCCGGGCTTAACATACGATGCTTTGCGCTTGGGGTTATCGTAATGAATCCATTTTTCGTCACCAGTGACAATTCGATACAGAAAACCTCTTTTTTTGTGCCTTGCGAGCAGCATTTCGCAAGTCACTAAACGCCTTTCAGCTTGCGCTGGCGTCAATTCATGTGGTACCCAATTTGACAACTTGCGAATGAAACCAAGGGCCCTTAAACGATATCTAACAGTGCTTCGGTCAACATTCAATGCTCTGGCAAGCTCATCTTGAGTTTGACTCGAATCTTCATCGAGCAATGCCTCCAATTCCGCATCTTCAAACTTTTTTGGCTGGCCGGGACGTTCCTTGTCTTCCGTGCTAAAATCACCACTTTTGAACCGTGAAAACCACCGTTCACATGTACGTTCCGATGGAGCATGCTCACCATAGGCTTCCACCAACATTCGATGCGCTTCAGCCGCAGTTTTCTTCAAATGAAAGCAAAAAATTAATGCTTGCGGGAAATGTTGCTTTTTCGGTACAAAATTTGACATATTTAAGGCGCAAAAAAAAATGTTTATCCAAACTTCGATGAAATGATAGATGATGATTTTTGTAGTTTGACACTAGACCACTCATGTGAAAAAGAAAAAAGTATTGCCCGATACAACCATGCAAAGTTACGCCATCTTTTGAAAAATCGACACGATTAATTCCCAGACCCAATATTATTTTAAATTATGTGTATTATCATCTCTCTATATTTCATACATGGCAGTGAAATTGACCGTAATCCCGAATTCTCCTCATTGCCGTCACAAATCAGCAGTTTCAAAACACATTGACTTGTGCTTGTGTTCGAAATTTTTTCATAAATTTCGAACGTTCAAACTTAACAAAAATTGTTCGAATGATCCAAATCAAACATGCGCATGGGGGATTCCGGTTTGTCCCACATTTCTTTGTTTTTATCGGGACAAATTTTCTCCCATCGAAGATTTTTCAAAAGTGTGGACTTTTTTTAGGTCTTTACTTTTTTCCCGAAATCAAAATTCCAACACCCTCCTCCTCACGGAAGATGGGGGGATCTTCCCCAATGAACCATATACGTGCTTAAATTTGCCTATACATGGTTAGGGTGGCTCTTTTGCAGACAAGTTGCGATTTTCTATCGGGCAACTAGTTTAAAAGTTGTGGCTCGATCCAAAAAGAAGAAAAATGCCTTCTATATCGATTTTGGAATACGCTTACACGTTCCGAAAAAATAAGGCGACTAGAAATCCAAATTCTGGTACATTTTTGGCATTTTACGACTTTTTCCTTGCCTTTATTGTATGTTTCAATATATTTTTTGCTTTGGGATCAAAGAATCTGACACATATAACATGGAAAAACAGTACTGAAGTGATTTTATAACGATTTTTGTTCATTTTTTATGAAAAATATGTAAATTCCCTCAAAATTTCGATAATTTTGTATGGGAGGTACCCATAAATCGCTTTTGATTGGCTTCAAACTTCCTGAGATTTTTTTTTCTGGCGAAAAAATAAGATTCTGAAAGTTTCATGCTGATCGCATTTGCGCAAGTTTGGTTTTGGTCCATAAATTTATTTGAAATTTCCTTGAACCTTCAGTTTGGTCATAACAGTTCAATGTGAATTCCCACTAAACCAAGAAACATATTTAGACCGTATAGCACCTAAATTCTTCGTTTGACATCCCTCCATAAGATTCCAGTAAGAAACTGTACTGGTCCAATCGATATAAGTAGTTTTGAGCCCACCAAAGTCTCAAAAAGGAGCCAAATTCTCTTATTTTCCACTAAATTTTGTACAAAAAGTACTGTAACTTTGGATAGAGGTATGATATCAACGCATGTTATAGCTTAAATGAAAGGTATTGAAGTCTCCTCTTATACAGTATTAAAAACTAATATAGTTTGTATAAATCATAAATTTGAGGCCTTAGAATCTCTACGTATAGCCCCAAAATCATTTCTCAAGGCATATCCCAAAAACTAAAGTCCATGTTACCAAACTGATAATAAAATCGGATTTATAGACACCAAAAACAATGAAAATCACCATTATCTTGCTAATTTACGTTTAATTATCGAAATTCGTAGCAATTATAAGCATAGATGTAATTTTAATATATGGCGTAGGCTGTTCTCTTATAAAAAAAACAATTTTTACAAATTCAGCGTGTTAATTCTTGATACAGTACAAAAAAGGACTTCAATACCTTTCATTTAAGCTATAGCATGCGTTGATATCATACCTCTATCCGAAGATACAGTATTTTTTGTGAGAAGTTTCGCTCAATTTGACCACTTTTTGACACTTTGATGGGCTCAAAACTACTTATATCGATTGGAATTGTTAAGTACCTTACTTGAATCTCATGGAAGGAGAATTTAATACTATGAATTTAAAGAATACAAAGAATTTAAGTGCTATGTGGTCTAAATATGTTTCTTGGTTTAGTGGGAATTCACATTGAACTGTTATGACCAAACTGAAGGTTCAAGGAAATTTCAAATAAATTTATGGATCAAAACCAAACTTGCGCAAATGCGATCAGCATGAAACTTTCAGAATCTTATTTTTTCGCCAGAAAAAAAAATCTCAGGAAGTTTGAAGCCAATCAAAAGCGATTTACGGGTACCTCCCATACAAAATTATCGAAATTTTGAGAGAAATTACATATTTTTCATAAAAATGACAAAAAATCGTTATAAAATCATTTCAGTACTGTTTTTTCATGTTATATGTGTCAGATTCTTTGATCCCAAAGCAAAAAATATATTGAAACATACAATAAAGGCAAGGAAAAAGTCGTAAAATGCCAAAAATGTACCAGAATTTGGATTTCTAGTCGCCTTATTTTTTCGGAACGTGTTAGCGTATTCCAAAATCGATATAGAAGGCATTTTTTTTCTTTTTGGATCGAGCCACAACATTTAAACTAGTTGCCCGATAGAAAATCGCAACTTGTCTGCAAAAGAGCCACCCTAATACATGGTACACAAGTTATGCCTAATTTTTACACGTTTTAAAACAAATAAAAAATATATAGTTAGCTTTTTGTTGAATTGTGTAAAATTTAACTAAAATCTGGACATAAAATGTGCATAATCTAGCATGCGTTGCTGCGTCATTACAGCCAGCTGAATTATCTCGTTCATTTATCCTATGAGATGCTGAGAGCGATATAGCAATCACTGGAATTCTGGGTAAAACTCTAAAATTATGATAGAAAGCTATATTAATATATACATTACTTGAAAGATGAGACCTTCCCATAAATTTTGGTACCCCATTCATTAAAATCGGTTGAGTGGCTCCCGCACAAAACATGTTTGAACTCACTAAAACTCGAAAATCAGTGAAAAATAGCAAACTTTATTCGGTAAATTTATTTTTTTGCAGATTCAACTGCAACCTAGGCATTGGAATCTAATTTTCCCATGAAAAAACTAATCCACGCCAAATTTGAAGACAACCGGATGAAAAATTAGGGTACCTCTACAATGATTTTTGTTCGAAAAATAACCGAATTTATTCAATAATATATTCAATTCATTCCAAACAAGAGAGTGTTCGTGTTCATTTGGAAACATCGAAACTGTAAAAACAAACCACAGGGGTATATAATGTAAATGAGATATATCGTCCAGTTTTTCTAGACCGAAATAAAAATGATTAAATTATTACGAACGAACGAACAAGAACACTTTTCGTTGACACCTCTACTTCGGACTGTTTACTAAATGATGGCCTGAGAAGAAAAACCTTTCCTACAAAATCTGTGCGCAGAACACAAACACAGAAATTTTTTAGTCAAAAGGTGAACAGCAAATTTGCGAGCGCAAAAAACCTAATATATTTACAGCGAGCGCAAAAGCATAACAGGCCTACTTATACGGAGTTTGCATGCTAGTAGGCTTGTGTTTTGTAATTTCGGTGTTTATGTTCTGCGCACAGGTTTTGTAGGAAAGGTTTTTGTTCTCAGGCCGTCAAATAATGACGTGACAATTTAAAAATATGTTTTAATAACGATATTAATGATATTAAATAAATGTCTATCATTAAAAAAAATTAACGTCATCACTAATGTGATGCATAACCGAACAACACGCACGTTGTGTGTTCACATCAAATTTTTTTCTGTTGAGGCTTTCTCTCTATAAATATGGCAATGTTCTGGTTTTTATCCATTTAGTATTAACTGAAAAGTGCAATAGGTTAAATCGTTGTTTTTCGAGAGTGTCAGAGAAAAAATAGTAGTGTTATCAAAAAACTTTTAGAAAGATTGTAACAAATTATTTCGTCTTTAGATCCTGAAGATGGCTTTCAGAAAGCCGAAATATATCGATCAATGAAATAACAAAATTTGTTGCATTTTAATTCGGAACGAAGGAGGCGATACAAGCACAACACACACACTGTGTGTATTTGAATAAATTTCACCGTTCCGGCAAAACAAAAACCACAGTCATTCGACTGTGTTTAATAACAAAAAACTATTGTTCATAAAACGGAATAACGAAAATATCTCGATATAAAATGAAATCGACATCGTTTTGTATCTTTTTATTGAATATAATGAATGAGATATGGAACGTGGATTCAAATTGTGGATGTGAACCTCATCCTCATCCTCCTCCGGATACTCTTCCAGAGGATAAAATTGTTATGACATTAGACGGGAGAGTTCACGGAAAATTGGACCAAACATATTTGAAACAGATGAATTATTATGCATACAGGAGTATTCCATACGCCAAAGCTCCAGTTGGTGAGCTTCGATTCAAAGTGAGTTGACGACAAAATGCAAAACCACAGACAAAAAAAAAACAAACAAATATTCAGATTTTTGTGTTTGCTTCAAATCGATGTCCAAAAGAGAAAAAGAAACGAAACACTTGCATAAACGATTGAATTCGATTTTTGGGCACCTGAACCGATTGGATCTTGGAAACCACGCATCAAAGATGCATTTGACTATCCGCCATCTTGTTTCCAAACGGATATGTTTGATCTTCAGATTGAATATAAAAGTGAAGATTGCCTTTTCTTGCATATTAACGTTCCCGGTATGAATTGAATTTGAATGACATATAAATTTCGAAAGAAACAAAACAACAAACATAATGCATTTAGTGCATAATTTTGCAATCGTGTGTATTTCCAAAAAATTGAACATCAAAGTAAAGTTCATGACTAGCACTAAGATTTTTGGATCTATTGTAGACAATTTTGTAAATTGTCCAACTCTGGTGGAAATTTCAAAAGCAACCGCAGCATTGGACAATTTACAAAATCGTCTACAATGTGACAACATTTACAACATGGCATGGCTGGAGTATTTCCTTCCAGACTTCCATCAGTCAGGGTTTAAAATTTCCCATCTTCTCGATGGAGTCTCTCCATTGATTAGCTCGAGCTAAATCAACTCTTCTAAGCTAATCAACGAAGACTCCATTGAGAAGATGGAAAACTTTAAACCCTGCGTGTCAGTGTATGAGTGGCAACCGAATATATTAGATCATTTATCTTCTTGTAGCCGAAATCAAACCAGATGAAAGATTAGCCGTGTTGATCTACATCCATGGCGGTGCTTTTATGGCAGGTACCAGTACGGATATATATTCTGGCCCGGATCCTCTCATCGAACAAAATATCATTTATGCTACCATAAGTTATCGATTGGGAATGTTCGGATTTTTGAACCTCGATTCACCGGAATATTCGGGGAATATGGGCTTGAAAGATCAACAGTTAGCGCTCAAATGGATTTATGATAATATTGAATACTTTTCGGGTGACAACAAACGGATTACAATTGTTGGTAATAGGTTGGTAATTTTTCGTACACATTTAAGTCGAAAAATGGTAGGAAGTCAGATGATTTTCATACAAAAAAATGCATATACCAAAATATACATGCACTTATATACATGTATGTATTTCTTATCGGAAAAGTCCCATTTTTTTGTAGAAAAATATGATTTTCTTTGGTGTATTCAACCTTTTAACCTATACTGTATATACTCTATTTCACACCACAACAGTGCTGGTTCAGTTTCGGTGCAGTTACACATGCTATCAGAAGAATCACGAAAATATTTCCGGAATGGGATTCTTTCCAGTGGAGTGATTGATAATTATTGGTCCTTTTCGAAGCATTCAAATCATTTGCACTTGGCATACGAAATGGCAAAACAATTGGACCAGCCACGAGATTCGTTTGACGATTTAGTTGATTTTCTGGAAGAAGTTCCAGCAAATGAAATATCTGCATATGCATTATCTCGTCGTGGATTACTAGAAAAGCGTACACTAATGCTTGATTTTACGCCAACTATTGAAAGTATGTTCAATTGTTTACAAGTTTACATCCAGTTTGAAAGTGAGCTTGAAATTTTTGAATTTGAATTTTTAGGAGAAGATGCAATTCAACCTTTCATGATCGAATCAGTCGATAAACTCTATGACAAACCCGATATAAAAGTCGATGCCATGTTTGGAGTCTGTTCGTTGGTTTGTATGGCACAGTTCTCTTATAACCAATGAAATTCGGTTCAAACGTTTTTATTTCCCTTTGTACTGTGTTTTATAGGAGTTTTTATTCTTTTATGATAACGAAGGAAGGACAAATCTCAAAGATTTTGACGAAAATTTCAACATAGATTTGCCATTTAAGGGATTTAATTTGTCATTTGACTCCAAGGTAATTGCCTATTTGAAATAGGCTATTTCAAAATCCATTTATATGAGCATTTCTTGAAAATTGATGTGAAATATCAACAATTTTTTGTTTCGATTTGATTTGATTTTTTTTTTTTGAAGGAATATCAAAAATTGGCAAAGCAAATTCGTCAGTTTTATTTTGGTGAATCGCCTATTGATGAGACAACTTTAGTTCAATACCTTAATCTTTTCTCGGATATCAACTTTACTTACGCAATAGACAAAGCGGCAAAGAGACACGCAAACAAAACATCGTCCAAAGTATATTATTATCGGTGAGAGTGATTTTGGGCATGGATGGGGGGTTTAAATTTTTGACAGAATTTTCAAGTCGTTCCTTGTGTCTTTTATTGTGTGTACAACATAATTTCAAGGATTTTTGACAGATATATAACTGGAATACATCGAACTTCTCTGACAATCCCACTTATTATAATATTGAAGCATATGAAAGGAGAACCAGATGTGTTTCACTTACGAATTTTTTATCAAAAAACAAAATGTTGGAAAAAAATTATATCGTACACTCAATAAATAGAAGAAAAAAATAAAAACAGGTTCGCTGCTGACACAACATTGAGTCTGACCAAAACACGGGCAAAAGGTGATGCCAAAAAGATTCCAGCAGCCACCCATGCAGAAGATTCATTCCATTTTGCAAGGTGAATTTTATTATCCTCAATACATCAATCATAAATATTTTTTCCTTTCATTTCAATATCAAATAATATTTGACAAATATATTGGCCATTTTTTTGGTTTTGCTTTTAGTGTGAGACCTGCCAAAGTGCTTTACGGAATACTTCGAGAGACTCCAAATGATAAACAAACACAAATTACCATTAAAACTATTGAAAATATTTGTAAATTGTTTTCCAATTTTGTGAAGTGGGGGTAAGTTTTATCATATATTTAATTTATAAATGAAAGATTCACATTAATTTTCATTCAAAATAATATCATATAGGAACCCAACTCACAATGATGATCCGATTGCTGGATTTCTTCCCATTCAAGGGGATACAATCAATTACATTAATATATCGAACGACGGACTGAAACTAGGTGTGAGTCCAAATGCAAAAACCAACGAATTCTGGGCAAACATTGATCGGCTAGTCAAACAAAGTAGTTGAAATCGAACCAATTTTTTTTAAATCTCAATTAGACATGCGTGGCTACCCTGATTTCCTGAAAGAAATATATCAGATTTACCCACGTTAATGACTAACTTAAATAATTATTTCGAACCAAATATGCTGCAGTTAATTTCTATTATGGTCGCCTGATAGTTACTCTTCAGTCAAAATGTCCAAAATTAGTCGAATCACTTTTCATCGACTTGAATCAAAATATATTCACATATGAGTATCTTTTGATTATTATAATCGAATTAAATTCGCAAATTAAATGCTTATTATTGAATGTAGTGCTTAATAAATACCCAGCAATCTAACAGTGGCCGAAATTTTGATATTGAAATCATTTTATTATGTGCAATTTGATTGCTAGTTTGACTTGCGCTCTATATTACCTTATCCCATCTTATGTTCATTAATTTTTCCCAGACCTGGGAGTACTGGCACTTGGTTGATTTTTGGCCATAGATAATTAAAAAAATATATTCATAAACCTGGATTCCTCATGGTTTAGTCAGGGAATGCGATTGACATAAATCAGAGAGCAATCAAATCCATTGTTTAAAAGTGACGCAAATGTGTCTAATTTTGAAAGGGCAATTTATTTTGTCATATTCTTGTTTCTGTGCACATTCTTGTCTATAACATGACAACCGCTTGATGTGGACTAAAAGTGCACAAGATAAAATTATAGAGGACACCTTGAAGAATAAAAATGCTCTTTGAAGAAATGTGATCCAACGTACGATTTACGTTATACAGCTGTTGAAATATTGCCCGTCTAAAGGCGGTTACATGCACTAGAGGGTTATGTATTTGTGCGGAACTCGACTAAATATCAATTGTCAAATTCAAAGCGAATGGAAGAGTTGTTTGATTGCCGATTGCATGATTTTCACCCCAGTACAGATATCCGTTTCCATACAAAGAACACGTTGTTTGTATGGGAACGGAATTCCGTAGTGGGGTACAAAATCATGCACCCGAGACAATCAAGGGTCAACGAAAAGCTTGTCCATCTTTTCGAAATGATTTTTTCGTTGCATCGGAAAAAATCGAGTGCAGAGCTGACCTATTCGGTGCTGGCACTTACCTCGTTGGGTGCGCACCTCATACTAGGTGCCAAAAATTATTTTTTAAGAATTTTTTTTAAGTAAATATCACCAACTTAATTCTGAAAAATTGTATCAAGTTAAAAAAAATCGGTTTTGTTGTTGTAGTCAACATCACGGTTCAGAGAAAAGATACGAACATCCATTTCCAGTATCAATGATACCTTGAAAGTAGCGACACGCAACAGCGGTTTTTTTTATAGCAGACAATTGAGTGTCCCTAACTGTCAAAATCTCAATATTCTACGTTATTCAAATGTCAAAATAAGAACCGCCGTAAGGGTGCAGTCACACTAGGAAACATGGATTGGAAACATGTTTCCAGTTCCCCATAAGATCCTGTGTATTTTTGTTTCCACTAAAATGTTTCCTGTAAACAAAATTACATTGGACCTTATGGGATGTTTCCAATCCATGTTTCTTAGTGTGACTGCACCCTAAGAGGGAGATACGGATTTGAATTGTTTTTGTTTTGAATGGAAAAACACGTACAGTCAAGGTCACGGAGACGATGACATGAGTGTTGAATTTCATTCAACGCCACTAAGCTGTAGACATCTCTCTTCGGCTTTACGGCAAACAACAGAACCAACACTGAACATGAAAATGACAATTTCAATTGTGTTTGTTTCGTTAGTTTCAACTGTGCCGCTACGAGAGGTCACTTTTGTCGTTTCTTGTTGTTATTTTACATGTAAAATCAATGGTATTAGACGAGGATGGACGATGATGCTGAGCAAACAAATGATAATAAAAATTTGCTGGCAAAAGCATTGAACGTGAAAAAAGTGCAAGTAATACGAACAGAAGCTATTAGCGTTTAAATTTGTGAGTGTGATTGAATAATGCATCAGAATAAAGTGAAGTTTCAATAGATTCCATTAGATAGTTTTAATTATGGAAATGGTGAGATGGAAATAAAAAGCGAAATTAATAAAGAAGTGAAATGGAGTTCGGTGTAGTTCTACTACTACTGCTGCTGCTGCTGCTGCTGCTGCTGCTAATAAATAGAAGGCGAATTAATATTTTACTCATTATGAAAACGAAGAGAGCACGTCAAAGAATTGCTGTGCGAAAATTGTTTATTCTGCGAGTGTTAAGTTGTACGAGAGAAGAGATCAAGATGTTGTGTTGATGTCGACAACAAAAAAAGCATCGCTTTTGATGCTCTCGTCGTCGTCGTCGTCCGAATACCGATATACGTATTGGCATCTTGGCTATGCTGTTTCGCCTGCACACGAATTCAAAGAGCTTTGTGCGCTAACGCGCGTAGCCCATTTCTCGAATAGAAATAACAAAAGATAATTGTAGAGAATTATAATAATTTTCGCTGGGTGCATTTGTAAGACGTTCGTTTGTATGGGCCGAGGATGTGCTTGTTATTTTTCTTTCTTTTTTTTTTGCTTCATTTGTTGTGTCTGTTTGGCTTCGGGTCAACATGAATATTCGCGAGAGTCTCACTCACTCTGTTCCGCGCTAGCGAGTGAATGGGCGCGCGCGCACTGCGCACATACCAGAACTCTATTAGAAAAAGATGAGACGCCGGAACGAGCATTTCGTACGGAATGGGAATGAAGTAGAGTGTGTGTGTGTGTGTGAGCGAGAAAGAAAGCATGCGAAAAAGAAGAAAATGAAAAGACCACGTTGTTGCTATATTGTACAATCGAACCTCTTGCTTGCTGCTTATATTTTGTTTGTTTCGTTTGTTCGGCCGGTGTGCGCTTTTTTTTTCATTTTTCGTGCATTTTATACGTACACTAGGTTTGTTGCTGTTGTGACCGCTGCTGTTGATTTTTTCTACATTCGCCAGAGAGTTAACGATAATGAACGTTACCTCGACGTATCCATAACCGATTCTAAACGAATATAGTTTATGTGGTTTTTCTTAGAATGTTCTCGATTTAAAGCGCAAAAGACGGCATGGACTTGGTGCGGCTTTTAACACGGCTGTGAAACTAAATAAATTGACTGAAACCATTTTCAAAATGAATAATAGCGCACAAAACCGAACAAGAGAGCGAGGTAGATAGAGGAGAGAGAGAGAGAGAGAGAGACACGGAATAAGCAAACAGAGATCAGTGAGTTGAGCACGGTGTATACGCTCTGGTGTCAAACATTCCATTTTATTTTATCGAGAATAAATTGTATGCACTCACTCTGGATGTTGAACTCTATGGCAATTCGATAGACACGATGAGAGAAGGAGAGAGAGAGAGGCCATTGTACAATCGCTTCGGGGCCACACTGGCCAAAAACCAAAGTGTAAGTGTTTTAACGCGATAAACTCTGGATATATGGATTCGATGGAAGTAAACGTGCCCTATTGGTTACTAGTCGTTTATAATATTCAATCATTCGAAAAACCACTTTGATTGACTTGAGGCTTCACGTTTAATAAGCTAATGGCACATCAGATCATTTAAATCAAACCATTCCCAAGATGATGCGCAGCATTTTTTTTTAAAGGAAAAATGGAATAGAGGCAAAATGGGATCGGGACTATTCTGAAGGCAAACAATCAATAGGCAGACCAGGAAAGGGTCAATAGGTGAATAGGGAAGAGCAAAAGGACAGAGGGAATAGAGAGGACTCAAAAGGGAGCAAACGGAAAACGTGAACTAAAAAGAGAGACATTTCGATAGAAATCGTCCAGAAAAAAATACAGCAATCCAGAGCATGGGAGAACAAGACAAAGACAGAAAAGAAGCCAATCTTAAGGGATCCCATGCCGAACAGGAAGGCATGCCTGAATCATTGAAGTAACGCCAGAAATAGCTTCAGTCCTCGTTAAAACGATAATAAAAAGAAACGCCAATCGCCGACGAAAAAAAAACCCATTGCTGACCAGAAGCATTGTGAAAATGAGCAGGTTTCACTCACATAACCGATATATAGACTCGCGAATAGAGTCAGACGCGTCGAAAGCAATAATCGAAATTGAAATGGAATAAACAATGTGTTTTGGGCTCTGTTTAGTAGGTAGCATGACGATGGCGGCGGCAAAAAAAGGCATATATTGTGAGCCACCAAAAATGAGAAGCAAAAATTAAACGGGCCGTATGAGGCATAGAGAGCAAAAACGAGGAAGGAAAAATGGTACAACAACAGCCGTAGCAAAACAGAAAATGCGAATAAACAAATTACCAAAATCTATTATGTATTGACAGCTGATAAATTGCCCATTTCAACATTCATATGTAATGTAAAGCATCACCATCAGAAGCAACAGCAGCAGCAGTTAGTTTGTCTGTGTTCTTTTTCTTCATTCATGTGTATATGTTGATTCAAGAGGGTCAGATTAGAACATTGGCTACACAGCACGGTAACAAAGAGCGATATAGTACGCTCGGCTTGACGTCGCCGAAAAATTTTCAGCCGCTTTTTTTCTCGTCTATTTACACGATGAGCACGTATTTGTTTTACTCACGACGTGTTTTTTCCCTTCATCATCTTCGTTGTTTTTGCGCTATTTTTGCGGGCTCAATATGTTGTGCCTAGTGTAATTTTGCTCCGTACAACGGAATGTCTGAAGCAACAAATTGATTCTAGCTGATAAACGAAAGTGTTTTTTTTCTTCTTCGCATTTTACAACGACCGACGGCGATTTAAAGAAAAGAAGGGAAAAATCAAATTGTAATGAATCTACTGCGTACCCGAATCGGGTGTTGCTTCGTTATTGTTGCTTCAAAGAAATCCCATAAAATCATGTTGATGGTTTGATATTAACTACTTTGAAGCACAACTGTTGCCTGTTGTTGTTTGCTACCATGCAGCGTCTGTGACTTCTCGACTTCAAATCGTCGATTTTTATAAATACTTCCATAGCATATCGTAATGTGGCCAATTAGAAACATTAAATTTTGCTATTGACCTATCCCGTGATGGG